TTTATATGGGGGTCAGGTGTGGGTGGTGGTGTTTACGGGGGTCAGGTGTGGGTGGTGGTGTTGACGGGGGTCAGGTGTGGGTGGTAGTGTTGACGGGGGTCAGGTGTGGGTTGTGGTGTTGACGGGGGGTCAGGTGTGGGTGGTGGTGTTGACGGGGGTCAGGTGTGGGTGGTGGTGTTGACGGGGGGTCAGGTGTGGGTGGTGGTGTTGGCGGGGGTCAGGTGTGGGGTGGTGTTGACGGGGGTCAGGTGTGGGTGGTGTGTTGACGGGGGGTCAGGTGTGGGGGGTCAGTGACGGGGGTCAGGTGTAGGGGTGGTGGTGTTGACGGGGGTCAGGTGTGGGTGGTGGTGTTGACGGGGGTCAGGTGTGGGTGGTGGTGTTGACGGGGGTCAGGTGTGGGTGGTGGTGTTGACGGGGGTCAGGTGTGGGTGGTGGTGTTGACGGGGGTCAGGTGTGGGTGGTGGTGTTGACGGGGGTCAGGTGTGGGTGGTGGTGTTGACGGGGGTCAGGTGTGGGTGGTGGTGTTGACGGGGGGTCAGGTGTGGGTGGTGGTGTTGACGGGGGTGGGTGGTGTGGGTGGTGGTGGTGTTGACGGGGGGTCAGGTGTGGGTGGTGGTGTTGACGGGGGTCAGGTGTGGTGGTGGGTTGGTGGTGTTGGTGTGGTTGGTGGTGTCAGGTGGGTGGGGTCTTGGGTGTGGGTGGTGGTGTTGACGGGGGTCAGGTGTGGGTGGTGGTGTTGACGGGGGGGTCAGGTGTGGGTGGTGGGTGGTTGTTGACGGGGGGTCAGGTGTGGGTGGTGGTGTTGACGGGGGTCAGGTGTGGGTGGTGGTCTTGACGGGGGTCAGGTGTGGGTGGTGGTGTTGACGGGGGTCAGGTGTGGGTGGTGGTCTTGACGGGGGTCAGGTGGGGGTGGTGGGTGTGGGTGGTGGTCTTGACGGGGGTCAGGTGTGGGTGGTGGTCTTGACGGGGGTCAGGTGTGGGTGGTGGTGTTGACGGGGGTCAGGTGTGGGTGGTGGTCTTGACGGGGGTCAGGTGTGGGTGGTGGTCTTGACGGGGGTCAGGTGTGGGTGGTGGTCTTGACGGGGGTCAGGTGTGGGTGGTGGTCTTGACGGGGGTCAGGTGTGGGTGGTGGTGGTCTTGACGGGGGTCAGGTGTGGGTGGTGGTCTTGACGGGGGTCAGGTGTGGGTGGTGGTCTTGATGGGGGTCAGGTGTGGGTGGTGGTCTTGACGGGGGTCAGGTGTGGGTGGTGGTCTTGACGGGGGTCAGGTGTGGGTGGGTGTGGTCTTGACGGGGGTCAGGTGTGGGTGGTGGTCTTGACGGGGGTCAGGTGTGTGGGTGGTGGTGGGTGGTGGACGGGGGTCAGGTGTGGGTGGTGGTCTTGACGGGGGTCAGGTGTGGGTGGTGGTCTTGACGGGGGTCAGGTGTGGGTGGTGGTCTTGACGGGGGTCAGGTGTGGGTGGTGGTCTTGACGGGGGTCAGGTGTGGGTGGTGGTCTTGATGGGAGTCAGGTGTGGGTGGTGGTGTTGACGGGGGTCAGGTGTGGGTGGTGGTGTTGACGGGGGTCAGGTGTGGGTGGTGGTGTTGACGGGGGTCACGGGGGGTGTGGGTGGTGGTGTTGACGGGGGTCAGGTGTGGGTGGTGGTGTTGACGGGGGTCAGGTGTGGGTGGTGGTGTTGACGGGGGTCAGGTGTGGGTGGTGGTGTTGACGGGGGTCAGGTGTGGGTGGTGGTGTTGACGGGGGTCAGGTGTGGGTGGTAGTGTTGACGGGGGTCAGGTGTGGGTGGTGGTGTTGACGGGGGGACAGGTGTGGGTGGTGGTGTTGACGGGGGGTCAGGTGTGGGTGGTGGTGTTGACGGGGGGTCAGGTGTGGGTGGTGGTGTTGACGGGGGGTCAGGTGTGGGTGGTGGTGTTGACGGGGGGTCAGGTGTATTTGGTGGTCTTGACGGGGGTCAGGTGTGGGTGGTGGTGTTGACGGGGGGTCAGGTGTGGGTGGTGGTGTTGACGGGGGCTCAGGTGTGGGTGGTGGTGTTGACGGGGGTCAGGTGTGGGTGGTGGTGTTGACGGGGGGTCAGGTGTGGGTGGTGGTGTTGACAGGGGGGTCAGGTGTGGGTGGTGGTGGTTGACGGGGGTCAGGTGTGGGTGGTGGTGTTGAGGGGGGGTCAGGTGTGGGTGGTGGTGTTGACGGGTGGTCATTTGTGGTTGGTGGTCTTGACGGGGGTCAGGTGTGGGTGGTGGTGTTGACGGGGGTCAGGTGTGGGTGGGGGTGTTGACGGGGGTCAGGTGTGGTTGGTAGTCTTGACGGGGGTCAGGTGTGGGTGGTGGTGTTGACGGGGGTCAGGTGTGGTGGTGGTGTTGACGGGGGTCAGGTGTGGGTGGTAGTGTTGACGGGGGTCAGGGGGGGTGTGGGTGGTGGTGTTGACGGGGGGTCAGGTGTGGGGTGGTCAGGTGTGGGTGGTGGTGGGTTGACGGGGGTCAGGTGTGGGTGGTGGTGTTGACGGGGGGGGTCAGGTGTGGGTGGTGGTGTTATATGGGGGTCAGGTGTGGGTGGTGGTGTTGACGGGGGTCAGGTGTGGGTGGTGGTGTTGACGGGGGTCAGGTGTGGGTGGTGGTGTTGACGGGGGTCAGGTGTGGGTGGTGGTGTTGACGGGGGTCAGGTGTGGGTGGTGGTGTTGACGGGGGTCAGGTGTGGGTGGTAGTGTTGACGGGGGGTCAGGTGTGGGTGGTGGTGTTGACGGGGGTCAGGTGTGGGTGGTGGTGTTGACGGGGGTCAGGTGTGGGTGGTGGTGTTGACGGGGGTCAGGTGTGGGTGGTGGTGTTGATGGGGGTCAGGTGTGGGTGGTGGTGTTGACGGGGGTCAGGTGTGGGTGGTGGTGTTGACGGGGGTCAGGTGTAGGTGGTGGTGTTGACGGGGGGTCAGGTGTAGGTGGTGGTGTTGACGGGGGTCAGGTGTGGGTGGTGGTGTTGACGGGGGGTCAGGTGTGGGTGGTGGTGTTGACGGGGGTCAGGTGTGGGTGGTGGGTGTGGTGACGGGGGTCAGGTGTGGGTGGTGGTGTTGACGGGGGTCAGGTGTGGGTGGTGGTGTTGTCAGGTGTGGGTGGTGGTGTTGACGGGGGTCAGGTGTGGGTGGTGGTGTTGACGGGGGTCAGGTGTGGGTGGTGGTGTTGACGGGGGTCAGGTGTGGGTGGTGGTGTTGACGGGGGTCAGGTGTGGGTGGTGGTGTTGACGGGGGGTCAGGTGTGGGTGGTGGTGGACGGGGGTCAGGTGTCAGGTGTGGTGGTGGTTGACGGGGGTCAGGTGTGGGTGGTGGTGTTGACGGGGGGGTCAGGTGTGGGTGGAGGTGTTGACGGGGGTCAGGTGTGGGTGGTGGTGTTGACGGGGGGGTCAGGTGTGGGTGGTAGTGTTGACGGGGGTCAGGTGTGGGTGGTGGTGTTGACGGGGGGGTCAGGTGTGGGTGGTGGTGTTGATGGGGGGGTCAGGTGTGGGTGGTGGTGTTGACAGGTGTGGGTGGTGGTGGGGGGGGTCAGGTGTGGGTGGTGGTGTTGAGGTGGGGGGGTCAGGTGTGGGTCAGGTGTTGACGGGGGGTGTGGGTGGTGGTGTTGACGGGGGGGTCAGGTGTGGGTGGTGGTGTTGACGGGGGTCAGGTGTGGGTGGTGGTGTTGACGGGGGTCAGGTGTGGGTGGTGGTGTTGACGGGGGTCAGGTGTGGGTGGTGGTGTTGACGGGGGGTCAGGTGTGGGTGGTGGTGACGGGGGTCAGGTGTGGGTGGTGGTGTTGACGGGGGTCAGGTGTGGGTGGAGGTGTTGACGGGGGTCAGGTGTGGGTGGAGGTGTTGACGGGGGTCAGGTGTGGGTGGTGGTGTTGACGGGGGTCAGGTGTGGGTGGTGGTGTTGACGGGGGTCAGGTGTGGGTGGTGGTGTTGACGGGGGGTCAGGTGTGGGTGGTGGTGTTGACGGGGGAGTCAGGTGTGGGTGGTGGTGTTGACGGGGGTCAGGTGTTGGTGGTGGTCTATACGGTGGTCAGGTGTGGGTGGTGGTGTTGACGGGGGTCAGGTGTGGGTGGTGGTCTATACGGTGGTCAGGTGTGGGTGGTGGTGTTGACGGGGGTCAGGTGTGGGTGGTGGTGTTGACGGGGGTCAGGTGTGGGTGGTGGTGTTGACGGGGGGGGTCATGTGTGGGTGGTGGTGTTGACGGGGGGTCAGGTGTGGGTGGTAGTGTTGACGAGGGTCAGGTGTGGGTGGTGGTGTTGACGGGGGGTCAGGTGTGGGTGATGTAAGTGAGATACTGTGGTTATGCCCAGTTAATGTAGCATAAAACAATAAAGCCGCGTTTAAACGTCAATGTGAATATGGGGAAACAGGAGTAAAGTAAAAAATGATAAGTTAAAACAAAAGTTAATTTAATTAAACAATAAATTACTTTAACACTCACAATACAACTGTCTTTCCACACATAATGTTTTTTATTTTATTTTTTCTATATTAACACTAATTACAACTTCAGAGACCTGACACTGAAAGTAAAGTATGATATGGAAAGAGCTAAAACATATATATTGTACCAACACCACAACTCTTACTGAACTGCAGGAGCAATTAACAAAGAAAGAGAGGCGTTACTCCAGACAATTGCCAGAGTTGACTGACTTGAGGAAGCTCGCCCAACCTGACACTGACTAGGTTGACTATCTGGAGGATGGGTGGCGTGATCATAAACTGCTGGCTCGGTTATTATACAGTGAGTCCTCACAAGGGCTAGTGCTGGAATGCCACAAATGAACGAACACACTGTTGTGTTACACAATATGATGCACTTTTATTATACAATATACACATGGGCTATTTACATGAATTCCTGAATGGACGTAGTGTTATTGATGACTGTTTAAGAGAAGCCAGTGCCCGAATATTGAGCATAATTATGTGACAATATATTGAGTAACACGGTTCTTTATTAAGCAAGGAGTTCCATACGTGGCTTTAATAATGAGTTCTTGAATTTCAGAGTACTTTACTGATGCTGGACAGACGTTCAATACGAGTGCTTTTATCTTCAATAAGGCGCTGGAATCTCTAGACCTGAAAAGGTTAGTGATACTAGATATAGGCATATTTCAAATATATGTAATGCCTGTGTGTGTGTGTGTGTGTGAGTGTATTCGTTGGACAAATATGATCGTCTGACGATCATTGATGTGATTACAGTTTGGGGATGATCCTGCAACCCGCAGCCCGTCCTCCAAAAATGGGGAGGTAAATGTACACCGCCTCATAAGTGCAATTATGTACTATGTATGACAGTCAAGAATTGTACTTATTTACACTTAGTACTAAATCGTACTGTCAAATATATTGTGAATATTTGAGTTTACCTAAAAAGCTGAATAGAAACCCACGACCTAACCTCACCATCTTAGTTTGTGAAGATAAGCATTTTATTGCATCTTAATTACAACTATTACTTAACCTATAGCTATATTGATATTACAGTTTTATAAAACAAATAAATCAAAACTAAAATATTTCGATAAATTGTAAAGTAACTCAGGATCTTCTTGAGGTTATCTTGAGATGATTTCGGGGCTTTAGTGGCCCCGCGGCCCGGTCCTCGACCAGGCCTCCACCCCCAGGAAGCAGCCCGTGACAGCTGACTAACTCCCAGGTACCTATTTACTGCTAGGTAACAGGGGCATTCAGGGTGAAAGAAACTTTGTGATTTGTTTCTGCCTCGTGCGGGAATCGAACCCGCGCCATAGAATTACGAGTCCTGCGCGCTATGCACCAGGCTACGAGGCCCCACATAGACGATATTTTCAAATTTTGTATAAAATCTCTATTGTTTAATAAAAGTGAAAAAGAAATTCTTAATATTTAAAACATGTGTATAGCAATTTAACTTTAAAATTTCATCTTAAAATTTTTAGTGTCCTAACAGAAAACGAGAAGAATTAAATCGGGGGAGGGGGTTGCGTAAATGTAACAGCCCCATAAGTGCAATTATGTACTATGTATAACAGTCAGGAAATGCACTTACACACTTAGTATTAAAACGTACTGTCAAATCAGAGGATGGGTTGGCAACCCGTCCTCGACTCAAGTCCATTAGATTCAGCAGTCGATCCCACAGACTCATTCATAAATTTTTACACGATGTTCATTCAAAAGAGGAATTTTCTCATATATAATTATTATAATATATTAGCATATTATGCATATATAGGCATAGGTTAGGTGTTTAGGGTCTGTTGGCATTTATATGTAGTTGTAGTGCGTGGGAGAAGCATTTATAGCATTATGGTTCGAACAAAATTTGTCAGTGAAGCACTTGTTCTGGAAGTATTCGAACGAAATCAGTTGTCAGTCGTGTGTAAACCGTCTTTCATTCATAAACAGGGCGTTTGGCAGCTGCATGGAATCACTTTTGGGTCTTTTGAGAACGGGATGGATCCTGGACGGCATAGGTTCGAATCATGGTTGGGTCATTAGATCTTGTAGTTATTTACGGTTCACATATGTAATACAGACTTTGTCATATATATATATATATATATATATATATATATATTGTGATGGAAAAAAAGAATGTAATTATTCGGCAGTCCTCCCAATGGCTGGTGTCAATGTCACATTTACAAAAAACAAGTTGGCTGCGTGGCTGTTGCCTCCTGTGGTAAAGTAAGGGAAAAACACGCAAAACAAATCATATAAACAATGAAACTTTAATTAACTTGAAACCAAATATGAACAAAGATAATCCCTTGACTATGTACAGTGCAAATAACAAGATTACAAAGTCAAAAAATAATATAAAATAAAACAGTGGTTACGTTACTCTACAATGAATAAGACAAAAAAATTAATTAAAAGGTGCTGAGAATATTGGCTGGGTGAAAACATACACTATTACACAGAGCGCATATTAGATAGACGTGTCAGCTTTGAGAGCACAGAATATTCTAAATCCAATGGCTCGTGCACGCTCAGTCATCGGCTATGCAGATGGCGCTGAAATTGAGTGCAGACGACGATTCACCAATGGGACGCATGCTGGCTGGAAGTGGTGGTTTGGTGATCGACGAAAGTGGAGTGGCGACAGCGAGGGGGGGGTGGTGGAGAGCGAGTGTAGGGTATGTATACCCCCTGTAGCAACATATTCAACTAAATATGTACTACTCTTGATTGTAGTATCTAGATGTTGTAGATGGACTGAAGTAACATAATGATAGGAAAGAGCAAGCCAAATGTCTCTTGAAGGTGATTATCGTAACAATATATATATATATATATATATATATATATATATATATATATATATATATATATATATATATATATATATATATATATATATATATATATATATATATATATATATATATATATATATATAAAATATGTCGTACCTAGTAGCCAGAACGCACTTATCGGCCTACTATGCAAGGCCTGATTTGCCTATTAAGCCAAGTTTTCCTGAAATAATATATTTTCTCTATTTTTTTTCTTACGAAATGATAAATCTACCCATTTCATTATGTATGAGGGGAATTTTTTTTTATTGGAGTTCAAATTAACGTAGATATATGACCAAACCTAACCAACCCTACCTAACCTAACCTAGCCTATCTTTATAGGTTAGGTTAGGTTAGGTAGCCGAAAAAGTTAGGTTAGGTTAGGTAGGTTAGGTAGTCGAAAAACAATTAATTCATGAAAACTTGGCTTATTAGGCAAATTGGGCCTTGCATAGTTGGCTGAGAAGTGAGTTCTGGCTATTAGGTACGACATATATATATATATATATATATATATATATATATATATATATATATATATATATATATATATATATATATATGTCGTACCTAGTAGCCAGAACGCACTTCTCAGCCTACTATGCAAGGCCAGATTTGCCTAATAAGCCAAGTTTTCATGAATTAATTGTTTTTCGACTACCTAACCTACCTAACCTAACCTAACCTAACTTTTTCGGCTACCTAACCTAACCTAGCCTATGAAGATAGGTTAGGTTAGGTTAGGTAGGGTTGGTTAGGTTCGGTCATATTTCTACGTTAATATTAACTCCAATAAGAAAATATTGACCTCATACATAATGAAATGGGTAGCTTTATCATTTCATAAGAAAAAAAATTAGAGAAAATATATTAATTCAGGAAAACTTGGCTTATTAGGCAAATCTGGCCTTGAATAGTAGGCTGAGAAGTGCGTTCTGGCTACTAGGTACGACATATATATATATATATGTATATATGTTGTACATATATTTCTATATACAGAGTTTTCCACACTGCAGTCTACACTAAGGAAACAAACATAAGAATGTGCCTGAATGCCAACTGACTGCCCAGACAGGTACAAGAGGAGTGTTGTTAACGCTTATGTCGACCGTGCTCTCAGCCACAGCTCAGAATGGAAGCAAGTCGACGAAGAACTCTGCAGGGTAAGGCAGGTCCTAGTCAACAACGGCTTCTCCAATGGTTTCGTGGAAGACATAATAAGAAGGAAAGTGAAACGCCATGCAACCTCTGAAGAGACAACTAACACAACACCTATACCCCTTATTAGATTATTTTACAGGAACTTCTTTTCCACAGCCCATAAAACGGAGGAAAGGGTCCTGAAAGATATTGTTAGTAGAAACGTTATCCCTACAGACAAAAATCAGAAGATACAACTGACAATTTACTATAAAACCAAAAAAACGGCCAGCCTACTCATGAGAAACTCTCCAGACACAAAGCAGAATGCTTTAAAAGAGACCAACGTCGTCTATGCCTTCAAATGCCCTCTTGGGGACTGTAAGCCTAAAAAAACCAGTATATAGGCAAGACAACAACATCTCTTTCCAGGCGATTAACAATGCATAAGAAACAGGGCTCCATTAAGGAACATATAATCTCTTCCCACAACCAGACCATCACCAGGGCAGTGTTAACAAACAACACAGAAATCATCGATAGATACAGCGATAGCAGGCGGCTCAACATCTGCGAGGCACTACACATCAAGAAGTCAACACCAGCAATCAACAGCCAATTAATGCACAACTATATTCTACCCACTTAAAGACCCCGTACCAATATAGAAGCATCATGAAAGTAGGCCAATATATATTTATATTATATATATATATATATATATATATATATATATATAATATATATATATATATATATATATATATATATATATATATATATATATATATATATATATATATATATATATATATATATGACAATGTCAGACCACGGAGGAAAAATGAAACAGGAAATTTCCTTAAGTACTTTCGTATATTAAATACATCTTCAGAAAGTACTTAAGGAAATTTCCTGTTTCATTTTTCCTCCGTGGTCTGACATTGTCACATTCTTAATCACGTGTTTATTTTCGTGATATACACACATATATATATATATATATATATATATATATATATATATATATATATATATATATATATATATATATATATATATATATATATATATATATATATATATATATATATATATTTATATATATTAATAATAATAATAATAATTAAATATGGCAATGGGTTAGATCGATAGTTCTAGAATAAATGTTCTCTATATTTATTATATTCTTCTACACCTGAAACAAAATTGAAAAAAATAACTTGTGTAAGGGGAAGGAGGGATACCAGATAATAAGGGAAAGATTTTACAGTTTTAGGGGTAATACTTACCTCGTATAGGGACTTGCTGTTTCATTATGCACTCCAGTTTACCTTCCCTGCTGTCGTATTTTCCCAGCTATGTGACACAACTTTATTTCTTTTTATTTTAAAATTGTTGGTGATCTGACGGCTGAGTGGACAGTGCTCAGTATTTGTAGTCCGGAGGTTTCGGGTTCGATCCCCGGTGTAGGCGAAAACAAATGGACAGAGTTTCTCACCCTGATGCGCCTGTTAACCTAGCAGTAAATAGATACCTGGGAGTTAGACAGCTGTTCCGGACTGCTTCCTGGGGATGTGTAACAAAAAGGAGGCCTTGTGAGGACCGGGCCGCAGGGACGCTAAGCCCCAAAATCCTCTCAAGATAACCTCAAGATATATAGTGCGATAGTTTAAGGGAACAACCTATAGGGGCTCTACCTCGGTATAACCCTTATAACTAGCCACTTCTCATTGCAAGTGAACTATTAAATAAATATATTTTCTGATTATTTTGCATATTGTAAATAAATTACACTTCATACTCAGACACTTGAAAATTTGTGATTTATATTTGTATTTAACATTTGATCATTTTTTTAAGATGTGGTTGAAAATTAATTTATGATTGAATTTTTACTCAAAATTCAACATTTCAGTCCTCTGGTTGTTCGTCGTGTCAATGACCAGTTGATGATGGTAGAAAGATCATTCATTGACCCCCGCGGCCTTCCTAAACAACCTGAGTTGAAGTAAGTGTTTTTTAAGCGTCATATGTCGTTAATTCTTCCTTCTCTGTTCCTATCATTATTTGTAACTCTTCTTAGTAATAACATTAAACTATGATCCATCTTGAGAAACAGTTACCTAGGTAAATTATACTTGCAGGAACCATATGTTTAACAGATCTCTAACCCTGTCCATGGAGGACAGAAGAAAATGTATATATGCTGGTTAGCATTGGAAATGTGTGGCCACGTCTATGCTAGAAAATAATAATAAATAAACTCGACAGAGATGAGATATATACAAGAGATATATACAAGAGTTGTTACATTCTTGTACAGCCACTAGTACGCGTAGCGTTTCGGGCAGGTCCTTAATCCTATGGTCCCTGGAATACGATCCCCTACCGCGAAGAATCGTTTTTTCATCCAAGTACACATTTTACTGTTGCGTTAAACAGAGGCTACAGTTAAGGAATTGCGCCCAGTAAATCCTCCCCGGCCAGGATACGAACCCATGACATAGCTCTCGCGGAACGCCAGGCGAGTGTCTTACCACTACACCACGGAGACTGCTTAGTCTCCGTTAGAGAATGAGTTGATGGTTCTCCTGTACTTCCGTTTATCAAGTACAAATAATCTTCCCACTTTATCCCCCCCCCTAGGATAGTGGTAGGGGGGAGGGAACTTTTGTCATACTAAAACCATATTTAACTTGTCTAAGATTTCTTAAGGTTATACACCACATTGTATTGTGCGGTGTACACACGTTCACCTATGTTAAAACAAATTTACAAATTGTTTCATAAACTGCTTTCGATGCCGGTACTGAGTACGTGAAAAGTTGAGACTCCAGGTCCCCCCACCCTATGGATAGTTTGGCCAGGGGTCAGGGCCAGGGGTCAGGGCCTGGGGTCAAGGGCCAGGGGTCAGGGCCAGGGGTCAGGGCCTGGGGTCAGGGCCTGGGGTCAGGGCCTGGGGTCAGGGCCAGGGGTCAGGGCCTGGGGTCAGGGCCTGGGGTCAGGGCCAGGGGTCAGGGCCTGGGGTCAGGGCCAGGGGTCAGGGCCAGGGGTCAGGGCCTGGGGTCAGGGCCTGGGGTCAGGGCCAGGGGTCAGGGCCAGGGGTCAGGGCCTGGGGTCAGGGCCTGGGGTCAGGGCCAGGGGTCAGGGCCTGGGGTCAAGGGCCACTGCTGGCCTTGTCCGGGGTTCATCCCACTACATACAGATTCCTTTTATACTCCTTGTGTTTTTTCTCTCCCCTTTAACCATCTATTATAAATAGTTTATTTTAAATTGTCCCTT